AGGCAGCAACGACGCCAGCAGCAGCAGCAGCTCTCTCCCTCTCTCCCTGTTGCCTCCGAGAAGTAATTATTCTACCAGCCACAGCTGACCGTGCCATCGTGACACTCCATGCACGTCGTGGCTGCGCCAACACATCCTGCTCCCTGCAGCGCCTCAAAAGATGCCTCACTCCGTCCACTAAGTGCATCGATGTGGGCCGTGCCTCGGCTGTGCGTGAGGACCACAGCGATGTGAGGGTCACCGAGTCGCAGCATGTTTGTTGTGACGCTGTTGCATGGCACCTGCACACACACACACGCAGCGCCTGCATCCTCCCTTTTGTGTTCGCCCTCCGCCGGAGTGGCCACACACACGGGCAGCAGCAAATTCATTTCACCCTCGACGATCCAAAATCAACACCGACATCCCTCGCCACGCAAAGATCTCAGTTGCCAGCGCGGGCTTTTACCGCTCTGCCATCGACGCTGAAACACGGCACAGTGCACGCACTCATTTTCCTCGTGCTCAGTCAGCCGTTTGGTTCACACATTCTCCGACGGGATGGCGACCATAAAGGCACGCCACAAAAGCCACTGTGATCGCACAAGCTCTTGCGATGAGCGTCGGTGTGTGCATGGATCCGCTGCTCACACGTGCTGGCAGGCAGCCTGCAGCCGGTGCCCTCGTGCCAGTTCATCGGCTCCATCACGGAAAAGAGAAAACGGCCTATTCCCGATGCGCTTATTCCCACCAGCAGCACCAACACGCTGGTCGCCAGCCGTCATTCCTCACCACATCCAGGAATGCTGAAGAGTGACGTGGAGCTGTCAGCCAGCAATGCCACAATCCCCGCACACATGTCGGCTCCACCAGAGAAGACACACAAACAACACACAACGCCCTCCACATGTTTTCCAAACATCGCTCCGACACACCGCGACACGCCAAACAGAAGTATTCGTCACTCCATGCACCTCCCCACACAATCAAATAGCCCACGCACCACGCACGGCAGCAGCTCACACCCGTCAAACAAGTGCTCTTCGGAGCAGTGTTGTCCACGTGCTGCAGTGGGAAGTAAACAAAAGAGACAGGCTGCCAAACCCCAAAGGAGTGCCACGACTGGCCGCAAGCCAAATGAGCGCTGCCACTCAAAACAATTCAGTCCTCATGCCCTCAGCCTCCCACCTTCTCCCACAATAGCCCCAAGAGCTGCAAACCAAACGCGCAACGCCCCTTCCCCAGCAGCAGCCGCCAACGGAGCGCAAGCCCCGCTGCACACACCACGACGACTCCCATCATAGTGCCGACGGTCCGCAGCGCCAGCTCAGCGCCACACTCCACCGCCCCGCCGTCCCACGGAGACATCTTGCCTCCAACAAAATAAAACACCAGCGGATATTCGCCTGGGCCGCTCGCCGGACTCTCAACTTGTCTAAAGAAACCAAGCAAAACAGAAGGGGGGGCGAACGGAGGGGCAGCGGGTTCGCAATCCACTCAGTGCTTGCTCCAACCACATACATTACATTTATATACATATTCGGACTGCCGCTCTCGCGACACGCCGCACGTTGTTGGGGTTAGAAACGCCATGGCTTACGAAGTGGCAGACTTCGGGGTCCTGCAGCCACAAAACACCGCCGCGTGATGGGAAATCAAAAGGAAGTTGGCTGTGAAGGCAAAATTAATAATAAATAAATAATTTTGTCCTACCGCCATCGGCACCCTGATTGCGTCCATCGCGGTCATCCAATCCACCACAAGACAGAGAAAAAGTACCGCACAGAAATGTCTTCGTTTTATCAGGATTCATATTCATTTAGGCAGCCAGCCCTCTTCGCAAGCATCCTGGTCACAAGCACCTATTCTTCGGCTCGTCCACACACTTCATTTACCGCCCATCACACAACACACACAACAGGAGAAGAGAAGGATCATTACACAAAGCCAAGGCAAATAAATAAACAATAATGAGAAATCGCAGCCCACACAGGGCCCTCGCACACGCACACAATCGCCCTCACGGCATTCCTCAGAAGAAGTCAAGCAGACTGGTACTCGTAAACCATCAAAAAGAAAAAAGGTGCGTGATGCCTCGACATCGGCAGCCAGCACAGGAGAGGCAGAGTGTATAGAGCATGTCCCTGGCATAAAGTGTACAGACAAACAGAAGGTGTATAGAGCGAGGCATATCAATTGGCATGGATTGTTTTTCTCTTGCATCCACTGCTGAGTGCGGGCCACGCAGGAGGCAACAGCAGTCGCCTCGCCGTGCAACGGAATCCATGCCGCCGCTCAGCAGAGTGGTGTCACGGCGACGGCAGCGGCAAGCAGAAGAAGCAGCGGACAGGGACAAGCTGCTGCAGCGTCATTGCCGTGGATCGGAGGCGGGGCGTCCGTCGGGTCCCTCTCCCAATCCCCGCGCCCCACCGCCGCATCATCATCGCTCCGCGGAGGGTCCACGGCGCCCTGCGCGGCATCAGCGGCATCAGGGCCCTTGGGTCCCGTGGTTGTGGCACCGCCACCGGCCCCGTCGCTGGCGGCCTCATCTCCTGCTGGTTGTCCCACAACAGACGTCACACCATCGGCGGCAACATCGCAGTTGCACGGAAGACCGCTCTTCTTCAAAGCCTCCTGCAGCGCACCCGCGGTGTCGCTGGGCGAGATCACCCCGTCGCCTGTCGGAGCATCTGGGGCGACTGCCTCTCCTCGGGCGACGGATTCTTCTGGGGTGCAGCCGAGTCGACATCCTTCGGTGGGTGCCGCGGCCGGGACCAATGCTCTCCGCAACGGGGACGGACGCCCCCTCGCAATCCTTGTCCAGTAATTGCCAGTGGGACCGTCCTGCTCCACACCCTCGCCTCGCCGTCCCACAAAACCACCGGAAGGAGACTGCCGGCGGCGGCGGATATCGTGCACACCTGCGCGTGGCCACGGCAAGCAACGCTTCCCTCATCGTGCGGTCGAGTGGCCCACGCAATCGTCGCTCCGTCCGTGCATGGGACCCAACGGACGCCGCCCTTTTCGACCACTCTAAGACGCACCTGCATGACAAGGCACCCCAACGCCGCATGCATGGCAGCACTCAGACACGTCTCCTCCGGGTCCCTCGCATCTGTCGTGTTCGTGGGAGGCGTGTCCGGACACCACGAAGAGGGCCTATCCCCGGGCACCGCAGACAAACATTCTCCCCGCCAAATAACAGCGTCAGCATCCCTCACATCCAGTGCGGGATCAATGATGGGGCAGCTGTCCATCGGGTGCTCTGCTGACATTTTATGCACACTCCCAAACACCAGCCACTGGAATACAGATCCGACGCGCAGCATTCGACGGGAACGCCCAATTCGCACAGCATGCGAAGATATTCACTCATGTTCAGTGCGGAGCAATTCCTCTGCTGCTGCAGCGCACAGCACGAATTCCTGCACCAACGCGTCGGCCCCGCCATCCCCCTGCTCACCCTCATGCAGCCCAGGACAGCCAATGCAGCCAGCGTCAGCTCCGTGCAGTCGCCGGCACCCCAATCGCTGCCATCCACTCATCCCTCGCGTGGCACCGCGACCGGTGCGACTCCAGCGTCCTCCCGTCCCCATCGCCATCCTGCTGCTCCACGCCATCAACGTCGTCGCAGTCGTGGTGCTCCCTCGCTGCCATCGCGGCAGTCGTCGAGTGCACCACCACCAACAGCGCCCCGCCACGCACACAGGCAGCATTCCTCACCATGCCGCGGCCTGCCATGTGCGGGCAGGCAAACCCGACAGCATGGGCCATCAGGTGCGCGGCGAGGCGGGTGGCGAGGCGTCCGTGAAATAAGGCGGCCGGGCAATGTTCATGGCGCCAGCGACGGGACGGCCATCCTCCAGCGTGGCGCACGGCAGTGCCCACACACCACCCGGCGCAGCAGCCACGTACAGCACTGTGTCAGAATTGGCAGCGCCAGCGGAACAATGCTCAGCAGGCACAGTGAACCGACTGCAAACACTGCCCGTGGCGAGTGACGGCACAACCAACGAACCCTCCAGTGGCTGCACGAGCAGACGATCCGCATGCAGTTTGACAGCAGCAGGGACAACCTCCTCGGCAACAGCGTTCCCGTGCGCAGACGACACAACACCATTCATACAGCCAAACGCACCGTCCAATGCATTCGCTGTGCAACACCAGGAGAGGCCGCAGTGCCTCCTGCTGCCACACGGGTCCGTTGTTGGCGCCTTGATGCGGGCGGGCACCCATCGGTCCCTCCAAACGACGCTGCACACCTGCAACGCATCCTGCGCTCCGAGAGACACGTCTCCCACCACACCCGGGGACGCCCACACGCCGTCGGCACGCACCGCATCGTCAAGGAAACAGGGATACGTCAGGATGACAGCAGGACACCCGCCGGCAATTCACATCGCAGGCATCATCACAAGCAGCAGCAGCAGCAGCACTGCAGGCCGCGGGGCGACGTGGATCAACCGACGCATGGCGCATGTGGAAGAAAAAACGTAATGGCCTGACGAGGATGCAAGAGGCTGACACCTCTACAAAAAGAATGAAACGGTATGAGAACACAAAGAGGAGATTTAAACGCCCGCAGTCAATGCAAGCCACTGATAAAAGGGTGGAATGAGTGCACTCAACCACAACACGAGCAGAGACTCAAAGAAAACAAAAAAAAAAAAGAAGAAGCCGAAGCGTGGGACGACCGAAGCACACACGCTCTCATTGCTCCCGTAAAGCAAAACACACACACAGGGAGAGAGAGAGGTCGCCCACTCAAAGCAATAGAAAATAATTAAAAAAAACTGTTACGGTGCTCCGCCCATGCAGCCAAGCAAGACGGCAGCGGTGCGTGTGGCTCAAAAGAGAGTACCAACGGGCCTGCATGGGTGTGCATTCATATATACGTAAACAAATTATGTGTGTGCTTATTAGGGTGAGGTGAGGGCGAGAGTCCATGCAAGGGGACACACACAGAGAGAGAGAAGGACGAGTGTGTGTGCGGGCGGTGCACGGCTCTCTCTCCCTCACTCTCACGCGGCCACCACCGCAGCAGCAGCCGCACACACAATAAGAAAAAGCAGAAGAGGTGAGGTGGTGTGGGAGGCCGCGGGGCTGCCGTCACTCTCGTCAGGCGTCCTCGTGGCACTTGTTTGAGCGGCGGTGACTGTTGCTGTTGGTGGTGGTGATGATAGTGGTGTTGGTGTTTCTGTTCCTCCCTCTCCAGGCTTGTTTAATTCTGGTGTACCTTCGCCTGCGGTTCCTTCCGATTGACCCGAACCACTTTCCTCCGAACCGTGAGCCTGTCTCCCAGAGGAACCACCGGCATTCGGTTGGCCGCTCCCTTCCCCGCTCCGAGCGGTATTCTTCTGTAGGGCGGCTTCTTTGAGTTTAATTGCTTTTCTTTTTTCTTCGCAAAAAGTAGCGTTGAGGGAAGCATTACAGTATACACCGTATGCGCCGTAATAATATTCATTCAACGATTCGCCGTCGCTGCCAAAATCCCACGCGTAGCCACCGCCGGCACCGCACCACAGCACGCAGAGGGCACACACCAGCAGCACACGGCCAGTCATCATCATCGCCATCACCCCTGTCACTTGCGTGCAGCTTTAAGCACAGACTAACAACACGTCAACGCAGAGTGAAAGCAAAGAGAGACAAGTCACACAGCCACGCACCGTCCCATCCAGCAATGAGAGTCACACACCAACGCAACAACAATTAAGTGGGAGCGGTTCAACAACAATCAAAACAAAGCAAAAAAAGAAGTGCTCCTCGCCCGTGCACCGTCCCTCACACTCCCACAGTTACTATTACCATTATTCTCTCTCCGCAGTCCCTCACCAGCACGCCGCGCTCACCTCAACACACGCCCCTCCAGCACAGGCCTCAGGATCGTCGGGCCCTCCCAGCACAGGCAGTCCGTCATGCACTCCCGCTGCGCCGCGACGTCAGCGACCTCCTCCCAGTCAAACAGCTCCGTGTCCTCCACATCCTCACAACCGCCGGCATGACACCGCCACACAACACCCACAGCGCCACAACGTCGTGTCGCCTCTCCTCCCCAATCATGGGTGCAACACCGAACGCGTACCTGCGCACGTGCTCCATGCGCTGGAACCACCCGCGGATCAGGTTGGCCGTCATGAACTGCATCTTGTTGTCCTCCTTGTGCTTGGGGAAGACCCTCACATCCTCTCGATCCACGGCCTGGGTGCTGCGAGAGGCTGCCGAGAGGTGCCACTTTTGTAAAAGATCCACATGTGCGGAAACAACGGCCACTCACGCTCCGTCACACCTCCGCTCCCTCCAATCGCCCACGCACAAGGGCGGTGTCATGGGAAAGAGAAGCCCGCCGCACAACGCATGCACGAGGGCACAAACAAAAGCAACGCCATCCATGTCGCACCGCAAGATAGAGCCACGCGCTCAGCACACACATGGCCGCAACGAAAGAGACGGGCGGATCCAAGTCCACGCTGCAGTCCTTTACTTCCCTCCGCACCCACGGATTGGCAGAACGACTCACAGTGAGGCACAGCGCACCATCCGCTCTCCTCCGAGCGCACTCAGCAGGCCGGCGCCCAGTCACCCTCGTGCCATCGCAATGGGGAGCACAAACAATCGTCGTCGCGGACCATCGGCGCCACTAGCGGGAAGGAAGAAGTGGGGGCATGTCAACAGCACAGCCAGCAGAGAGACACTCAACGGGACACGGAGACACACAGTGACGGTGGATACGGTAACAATGGAAGCACGCTGCAGTGAGTTACCAAAGAAAAGGAAAAAGTGAGAGTCCGGCATGACCCTCAAAAGAAACAATTAGGGAAAATTAATTCGGCAGAACTTTTATTTCATGTGCCATGCAACGCAATAGAAACGACCTTGTGTTTCTGTATATACATATTGCCTGCGCAACAAAAAAAATTTAAAGAAAAAAGATCGTACCGTTCCACCAGCCCACACAACATCCCTCACATTTCATTGCAGCATCCGGCCTGTTCCTCCGCTCCTCCTTTCGTGCAGTCCGTGGGAAGCACAGCAATGAGGCCGGCACCGTGTGTGGGCAACAAAAAAAAAAGCAAACAAGAGGGGAAACAAATCACTCATCACGGTATTTATTAACCGAACACTGCGCAAAGAAAAAAACAACAGTACTGATTATAACAGATAGACTGCATTAAAGGTAACATTGAAAAGTAAAAACAGTGAAAGAATCAACAAACAGTAAAACGTTAAAAAATAAATAAAACCGGTGGCATAAAAAAGGGCAAGAAATGCGGCACGTATTCTCCGTGAGGAGTCGCAAATCCACACTCTGCGGCTCAGAAGACTGCCACCCCCGAACACAGTCCCAGAAGCAGCAACACACAAGACACACACACGCACGGTGTTGTTACCGCTCAAATCACGCAGTGTCCATTTCACGCCGTTGGGGGAGGCGAGGCGGTCGTCGGGGCTCAAGCCGCTCCACACCCTGCGAGGTGACTATTTGTAATGGGGATTCATGTCCAGTGGCATTGCGTTGTGCCCATTCATTTCTCTCCGGTAATATCCTCAGCAATGTGCTCTCTGACGCTGTCAACCACTCGAACCTTCTCGGGTGGTGTCGGAGCCGCTTCTCTCGTCGGAGCGGGGACCCTGTCCTTGAGTGCACGCATCGCAGTGGAGTTCAGTAGGCGGTTGTGCAGAAAAACGTTCTTCACCGTCACATGAGATTAGTGCCCACCGCACGCCCCAATGCAAAATCTCAGGAATTCAGGTGGCCTCTCGCCCGTTAACGGCACCTCTTCCTCCCCCAGCGACTCGCCATCAACGTCCACAGAGGCCTTGTTGCCTTGCAGCATGAGTGCCACTTGGTGTTCTTTCTTCGGTTCCCAAGTGCTGCTCCGTGTTGTTGTCTTGCCCTCGAACTTCGTCTCCCACTTCTTATTATGGCTGTACGACAGTCCCACGGTATGATTGGACGCAGTGTTCGCCAGCACCGCAGTCAGTAGAGGAGTGTTCCCACTCGGAGCCTATTCGATGGTCACCGACGCCACAAGTGTGAAGTGGTGGCTCAAAGATACATGACGCACTTCATCACCCCGAGTGTTCACAGGCCGTAGTACCCTGGACTCAAGTCCCGTCACTTGTAACCCATCGTTGTCCTTCACTGCATTTGTCACCGTTGCATTCAAGCAAAAGTACTCGTCGTCCCACCTGCCATCACTGGACGCACCGGAAAAAACTGCCACCAGCCCCGCCGTGGGTATAGAAAAGCTGGAAAAGAAAATGTCCTTTTGCGTCCAAGTACTGAGGACGGACCTGACCGCACTCAGTTCCTCCGTCAGGCGGGAAAGTGAGATGACACGGCATTCACCGTTGCCCCTCCATCATAAAAGATGCAAACTGCCATCCGAGTACAGCAGGTTGCCGGCGAGCATCCAATTCACAGCAGTGTCCACGGCAGCCCGTCCAACACAAAACGTGCGGTTGCTGTCCGTGACCCAAAGGTAGAGCGCAGTGGCCCTTTTCTTCCCCGTGGCGTGCCCTCTCTGTGTGCACAGCATGACCTCCCTTTCCTCAATGGTCGCGGTGATGAGGGCATCCACACGCAGGCTTCCTTCTGATAGAATCCTGATCGATTTTGACTTGGTCCACACGCCTGAGAGTGTCCCGATGGCCTCCGTCCACGTTGTCCCCATGTCACGCGACCCGTACACCCTCTGGCCATTCCCGCAGTCAACAATCATGAGAAGTGATCCCTCCCATTCGGTGACGCAGGGGTTAAGGCATTTCGCAGGGGAAATGTCTTCACAGAGCGTCCAGGCACTGCCGTTATCCGTCGAATGCACGATCATGGAGCAAACGTCTTCCGCTTCATTCACCGCCATCAGAGGAAACACAAGCGTGCCGTCCTCCATCACAACACCTGCGCCACCAGAAGCAATGAACTCCCTCCACTCACCCTCGTGAGAAGCAGAAGAGATCCGCTTCGAGAGTTGTTTGGGGTCGCCACATTCGATCCGTCCACTCTGCTTCCCACCCGTGGGATTCGCGACATCACCCACAAACAGTTTCGGCTCCAAGCCGCCCTCTCTCCAGCACCCACCTTCGTAGGACACATCAGAGCCTCCCGCAAGAGGAAACACTCCGTTGCCCTTCGTGATTGTTGTGGGGCGGAGCACAACACCCAAACTCTCCTCTCCCTCCGCTGCACCAACCACAGTGTGTGCCCTCCATGCATCCTTTTATTGACCTCACCAACAACAGTGGACCAATCCCACGCAGAGTCAATGTACCCCGCAACAACATCAGAAAAAAAGGGCCTACTTAATTGAGCACATTGATATTCGGCATCCATTTGATCCTCGGCGAAAGCGGCAATCACTCCACCAGCACTGACGAGAGAGGGTGAAACAAATGAATCCCTCGTCGTAACTGGAACAATCCCATCCTTCGGCTGCACCAGCGTCGTCTGCGCCACAAATAGATCGACTCCCTGCGGCATCTCAACATTTATCAAACCATTCATTGCATCATCAATGGGATTCCCCTTCGGCTCGGTGACAGGCGTGGGCCTTCTTTCGGATGGTGTCGGAGCCACATTGATATTTTAAACGTAATCAAACTCAAGCTTCGTCTCGGACGTGTTGGTCGCCGTGTTGGATGCGGGACTCGGATCGACGGTGTTGGGTCCGTCAGCCGCCGCAGACTGTCGCCAATCCTCGTTCTGACGTGACGGCTCAGCATTAACTTGCGGCGCAGTTGTCCCACCAGATTTTGTGTTATCCTTCCCTTCACGGGGTGGCTGCAACTGGCAGATGCCCGTCTGGTCAGCATCGCTGCTCCGTGCAGGCGGATGGATGGTTCCATCGGGGGAAAAATTGACGCCACCACAATTCATAAGGGCCGGCGTATTTATGTGCCGTCACATTCATCGTGGAGGCAACGGTGGCCCCTTCCTCTTTCCTTGCACAGCTGGCAGCACAGTTGCTACATGTGTGCACCCCATTGGCCACATGGCACACAGCACCCAGCTCACCATCTCTGCCATGCATGCGCACATCAAAGCCACTGAAAGTATAATTCTCATACTGAGCCTCGGCACTCGCAGCGAAACACTACTTCCACGCACACACACACACACGCACGCACACGCGACAGCTCAGGCTGCCGTCACTCGGAGCACACGACACATCCACCGGCACAACCACCGCATCCGCATCACCAGATACATGTCCAGGACTCCCAGCAGCCGTCACGCACACGGAGCCGCACCGTCACCATCGTCACCATCGCAGTCACCGTCACACGTAGTGGAGTCGCTGCATTCAGTGAGCTGATCGGTGAGCCAGAAGGAAAAGAATGCAACAAGAGGGAGAGGGACGGGGCACAGCGGGTACAGCGAGAGAGCGCAGACAACATGAGGAGAGGGCAGCAGGCCCAGCCGCACAGTTCACACACCACGAGACGGCATCCACGCAAGGAGGGCACACAACGCCAGCAGCCACCCACCATGCAGGAGGAGAAGACATCCACCACCATCTCCCCCAGCTCATCGCCACAGCCCCAGGGAAACGGCCAAAACCCGCGGCCACCA